TTTCTAGTTATAAAGTAAACGTTTACATATCGACACAGATTTATCTGTGAAATTCTCACATCAGCTGATATTTTTCTCTAGAAAAGTCTTGTTTTCTTTGTTTTCCATATCGTTGCTGACAGTTTCTCATAATGAGGGTTTTATGTTAGAAAGAGTTTGGTTCATTATCTCCTGCAGTATTTAAATATATATCACACGCTGACATTTTACAGGGTAAAAAAAACACAATCTTTGTTTTTGATTCACACACAGAAACAGTTCCGAGATTATTTATATTGAATTTTTATTTTGTGGTGTTTTTGAGACGATGAAGATGAAGGTCGCTGAATCTTCTTTGTTTGCAGTCGCTTGTCGGGGGAAAGTTTTTCAATTTTTAGAGAATGAGATGATTTTAAAGTTCAGTTTCAGGGATTTTAGGGGTTAATGTGTTATTGAAACTCACCGAGCCTCCGTCACAAAGTTTCTGCTCATGAGACAAACTTTTTAACATCGATGAAGAAAATCTCATGTCACAGTTCACATATCAAACAAAAACCAGAGTTAAAAGTTGCTTTAAATGTATTTTTAATTAAAATGCAGTTTTTAGTGCAACAGCTGAGATATTGTCCGTCTCAGACGTAAATAAAATTCTGGATGTTTGTTGATAAAGTGTTAAAGAAGAAAAAACCTGTCACAGAAACAAACTGAGTCATTAAATACAAATCATCACTTTTATTCACTGGTTTAATTCTCCGATTTTAATTGTGGATGTTTTTACAGACCTGCATGTTCCCTTTTTTTTTTACATCGTGTTAGAGACATAAAGCTAATACTCAGATTCTCCTGTTTACGCTTGATGATGCATGTGTGTTGTGGAATCACAGAGTTTTATTATGAAAGATTTTAATGTTTTAACTGTCGGGAATCTAATTACTTCACAATGTCACGAGTATTTTTTTTCTTTAGTCTTTCCTCTTGAATGAAATTGGCAGCGTCGACAGATATGTAAAAATAATTATTTTTGTAACTACACTTCACGCTCTACAGGTTCAACTGTTCTCGGGTATTTATGTTTGTTTCATCCTGTCGCTCGTGCTGAGAAGTGTCTTAAAACAAAATGCAAATAAATCTTCTCCACTGTCAATTCTTTGCATCAGGTGGGTTTTTAAGCCTCGGAACACTTTCAGAGAATCCTTTCACATGTAAGGATGACCTCGTTAGATTTTGGTAGCCAACGCTCAAGGCTCAAGGTCACTTTGACCTCACAGAAAAAAAAAGTTTGCTTTGTGAACCCGATAGCTCCGAAAGGCCTCAAGGGAATTTGTTCACATTTGGTACAAACATTCACTTGGACTCGAGGATGACCTGATTAGATTTTGGTAGCCAACGCTCAAGGTTCAAGGTCACTTTGACCTCACAAAGCAATTTTTTTTACCTTCTGAATGTGATATCTTCAGAACGCTTTGGATGAATCCTTTCACATTTGGTACAAACATTCACTTGGACTCGAGGATGACCTGATTAGATTTTGGTAGCCAACGCTCAAGGTTCAGGGTCACTTTGACCTCACAAAAAAAAAAGTTTGCTTTGTGAACCCGATAACTCCGAAAGGCCTCAAGGGAATTTGTTCACATTTGGTTCAAACATTCACTTGGACTCGAGGATGACATGATTCGATTTTGGTGATCGAGGGTTAAAGTCAAAGCGACCTCACAAAGCGAACCTCTTCAACTTTTCATCACTTGGACTGAACAGATTCGATTTCAGTTCTATTTCCAGAATCGAGTGTTGAACTAGTTGTGATCAGACACAAACAGTCAAGCGATGAGGTGAACAACAAACACGTCACATTCCAAAGTTGTTATTGTACGAATTTGTCTTTAATCAGCTGTCAAGTCTCACAATGCTGTTACCACGGAAACCAGAGAAATCTCATCAAGTGTTTCAGCGTCAAATGTTTTTGTTACAGTTTTGCTTTTACTTATCTAGACAATTATCAACACGTTAAAACCAAGGATTGAATTTGAATCACTCACAAGTGTCTTCGATTAAAGATCTGATTCCTTTTTCTTTTTCTTTTTTTTTTTTATAATTGTGCCTTTAACAAAATTATATTCTCAGATTATTCCAAAGCTGAAATGCATCTTGTGCACAGGAGATAATAAATTGTGCTCAAAATGGTTTCTATCTTGAACAATGAACATTTTATGTTTCATTCTCTGTTTTCTAAAGAGTTAAATGCTCAGTACAGTGTTTGCTTGAGTTGCGGTGATACCGCGGTCTGTGAAAATTAAAATGTTTCTATTTCAATTTTCTCCTCAAACACGTTGGCCTCCATCTGCTTCAAGTCAGATCATTGTGGAGAAAAAAAACCCAAGGGGTAAAAACAACCACAGAGATTTATTTGCAGCTCAGACATCAGAAACACTAAACACATCACAGGTCATTCCTTTCTCATGGTGTCAAACATGCTGACGGTGCAACAAACCCGACAAACACACACAGGCATCAATACGCACGGTGAAAACAGAACGAACGTGTACAAACCGCAGGCATCAGAGTATTCACACACAGAGAATTTCCAAAAATAAAAGCTCTTAGAGGTACTTGGATTAATTAGTTGTTTTGATATATCGGGCACAAAAACAACATCAGGACTTCTGCTCTCCTCTGTTTTGTAATCTATAATCAATAATGCAGTAAAATATTCAGTAGCTCACAGACGTAACAGAGGTTCAGTTACTAACAGGCACAACATGACTCGTCAAACTGTGTAAACTTTCCAAGTGAAGTAAAAAAAGTTTATTAATGAGGTTAACGAACGAGACGCTTTAAGAGAAACGTGGAAACTTGATGCTACAAAAAAAGAGGAAAGATTCGTGATTTAAATAAGAAAGAAGATGTCGAGCAACAGAAGCATCAGATCAGAGCTGATGGTTTGGTTCAGATTGTCACGATCGAAAGGCATCCGTTTAAAAAGAAAACGTTTTTTAATTTGAAGAATTTGAGAAACAAAACCCATCATTTCTAATAATTCAGTGATTCTGTTGATGCTCAAGTTTTCTTGTGCCGAGCTGCTTCATTCAGTCTGAGCTGTTGGGTAATTTAAAATGTTGCTTACGGACAAATTTCAACGCTTTATTTTATTTTAATGGAAAATAAATTCATTGAAATTACTGAATTCCCCTGAAGTAGGCGTCGGTCATCGTGCTCACGTAAGGCTACATGACATTTAAAGGCAACTAATCTAATTTCCTCATAATTAACTGTTTTATTTACAGAGAAAAGTCCAAATTTTAGATTTTTCAACAATTAACAAACCTGAAAATGAGATTAATGAAATCAACACTTTTAAAACCTGGTGAAAGACTTCAGGAGCTGGATGGATCAGTATTCTTCTATTAAAATGTAGTTTTGTATTTTTAAAGGTTACACTCTGAGTGAACTCAGCTTTAATCTCCTGCAGCTTTTTTTTTAACTGTCTGGTTGTGTCTCATCAAGCCAGCAGGGGGCAGAGGTTTTCTGAAAATAGGATCTGGCTGTGAAGAAACTGGAACCTTTAGACAAATTGGTTTTTTTAAACTACGCAGACTTTCATCAGGTGATAATATGACGATGCGATTTTTTTTCGGCATATTGCGCCACCCCCTGGTGGCCAAAGGTTTCAACTTCAGCTTAAACAACACAAATTACTTAATGAATTAAAACTAAAACATCTATTAAATGTTTAGAAATGCATAGCCTATAGAAAATAACATAACCTGTACATCATGATAACATAAATTATGAAACTGTACAACAAACCTACTGAGACACAATCGTTTCTGAGAACATTGTTGTTATAATGCAGCTAAATAACTGGTGGAGAACGTGACACTGTCTGAACATCTAAATCTTCTTAGTGTTGTTTATGGCACCGAGATCAGCTGTTGGCAAATGACTGTTTGGCTTTGAAATTTAAAAAAAAGAACACGCGGAAAAACATGTTTTAACCATAAAAGGCAGATTTTTCTCGTAGTGAAAAGCAGAATTTCTCCTCTGTTGTGTTTCCTGTTTTTTATTTGGCACAGATTAAATATGCGTAACGATGAAGCGACGCCAAACCTCGACCGTTTCCGTTAATTAGCCACATCATTAACGTTAGTGTTCACCCGTTTGGCAGCCTCTGGTTTTACTTTGAAAACCAACCAGCTGTGGTTTGAATATTTTACAGCTGTTGGTTGGGACGATGACGACAAGTTAAAGAAAACAACAGGTTGAACTCGCAGCAGGAGAGAAAACAATGACAACAGAAGATGTCCGTTGTTTCCGGGGCAACTCAACTCGGCTCAAGATTGTTCATGAAGTAAGGCAGATCAAGGTTTCACTGGATGTGAGGGAAATCGTTGAGTTGCACTTAAAACAAAAGAAATCATCTCGGAACCAAAGTTGATTTTTTGAAATTTAAACAAAATTCTCTGTAAATTTTCATCTACTGAGCCACTAAAGACGAATGTTTCCCACTGTGCTCAGGCGTCGTGAAGTTTCTACACCGACTGTGAAATGGTCCGTTACGCAACAAAACTAAAACAACATAGTGCCGCACGACAAACTACGGTGACGAAAAGTTACAACTTCAAGTGTTGAGCCAAAAATCAAAAAGTCCAGTTCAGAGCAAAGACATTTCTTCAGGAGTTCTTTGAGACACGTCTCGTTAAGAAATGTGTATTTTGGGAAAACGTGACGGCTTCAGTTGAGATAATTTGCTCGCGATGGACGTGAAAAAACAACAAAACGTGAACAACAGAAATAATAATATTCTCCGTTTTATATTTATATTTTATATAATATAAATAATTTGTCATATTCTAAAAACATTGGTCGTGTGGGGCCTTAAAGCGTAATTTCACTTTGTGTGATTATCCATTAAAAAGAGGTGAAAGTTCAGCTGCTCTGAAGATCTGAAGTTTATTTTATATGATTATCAACTGTTATTGAACTTGTTTCTGCGGAGCTGTCATTCAAACACTGTGTTGTTCTGTTAAATCCTCGTGAATCTTTCAGACTGTGCTGCAGGTTTGTTTTCAGTTAAATGTTCTGGTGACGATGGAACCACAGAGAAAACAACGTGGCTGAGTTCTGTCGCTCCACAACGGAATAACGCTTTAAAAGCCAAGGCAGTAGATCCGCTCGGAACAATACGAGAATCCTGGCCGATGATGCTCTATCGATAATATACAACACAGGATTTTTCCCAGAATTCCTCATGTACCATGCTGTACCCATATTCAATCAAAAATATTTTAACAATCTGCAAATCTGTTTTCAGCCAAAACTCATCACGGAGGTTTTAATGGAACATTAGCTGCTTCAACATTTATAAACATACACGTGTGAAATCATCGGATGTTTTCATAACAATGAAAAATATTCACGTTATATGAATAAATACTATTTCTAAAGAATCGTATGTCAGTAATTTACAAACAAACAAAAACAGCAAAGAAGTGTTTGTCAAGTTTTCTTGCTAAACCTTTGTAACTTAACCGGTTTGCAAAATTTTATTTGGTTTAGCTAACAAAAGTTTGGCTCTACTTTTATAACTAAACTTTTAGTTAAACTTTTTTAAGCCAAACTTCTGTTAGCTAAATGTTTGTACTTAACTTTTGTAACTACATTTTCAAAGCTAAACTTTTGTCAGCAAAACTTTGTTAGCAAAAGTTTTGTTTTTGAACTTTTGTCAGCTAAAATTTTGTAACTAAACTTGGGTTGGCTAAACTTTTGATATGAAAGTTTAGTTACAAAAGTTTTGCTAAGAAACGTTTTTGTAATTGACGATTATTCTATTTTTAAGTGTTGTATTAATGGTCAGTTATGCAAAACATAATTTTGTGCAAATTTTGCCAACGATAGAATCCCACAAAGCTGCTGTGTGTTCTGGAAATACGGGTACAGCATCGAACACGGTGTGAAACGGGGGAACGTCGGTCACTCGGTTGTTCAGCCTGGTCCGGAGGAAACTCTCAAAGAACCAGATTTAAATTGAAAAAACAAAAGTTTGGACTAATTGAAATGAAACCACCTGTGAACCGTGCAGGTGGGAACATACAGCGCTCGAATCTCCGACTGCTTGTTTCAAACGAGGCACATTCAACTGTTTCCTCCTGTTTTAATTTCATCCCGAGGTCGGGTTGCTCTGTTGTCAGAGAGGCGGACAGTTCAGAGGGGAAGAGAAGAAGAAGAAGAAGAAGAAGAAGAAGAGGGTTAAAGGTTAGTTTTAGAGAGACGACAAAGAAACATGCAATCAAACATGACGGGAGGAGGAAAGTAAACTATGGAGGGAACGTGACGATGGACGAGCACTGACAGGTTGTTTCCTCGGACGCCTCGTGACCTAACACGCACATTTCTTCTCGTTGGGCTGTGCATCGCTGAGCTTTGCCGCCCCGTTACCGTTGGCCGGCTCGGCGGGCGGCTTGTCGACGCACTGCTCCATCCTCTTCATGACCAGGTCCAGCAGCGTTATCACCGCCTTGTCCACCTCCGTTCCCGTGGCCGCACTCGTCTCAAAGTACGGGATCCTGTGAGGGTCAAGACCAGAAGACGTTCTATTCAAAAGCTCCGCGAGTCGATTTGAATGATTTTCTTCTTTTAACACATTTTAGAATTTTTTTTTTTGAAGTACATAGATTTATGAATCTGTAAACATGACTTACTTTAAAAACATGATATCTGAATAAACTGAACATGTAAATCAGTCCCTGATGTTTATCCTGTGAGTACATCCCTGAACTGAGTTTTGTTGCCTGGCAACATCAGACCGAGTTTTGCCGACTGGAGAGGAACCAGGAAACGCTCTTTGCCTCTAACCAGGAAGTCATTTGTTTAGGTGGAGACAAGTCATGCATTGACGGTCTGTTGTGTTATATGACGTGTTGCAGCTGCTTCACTGTCTATACAAATGCATGTGCAAATTTAAGTGCATTAAAAACTAAAAGTACCCGTATTTATCGGCCAGCTCTTTGGCCTGTTTCTCCTGAACCTCCCGCTGGTCGGCCAGGTCGGCCTTGTTTCCTATCAACACGATATCTGGGTTCTCACAGTAGGCGTTGGCCTGTAACTGACCTGGAAATGAAAGAGAATAGACGACAGTGGCGAACAAATGAGATGTGCAAATATAAATCTGATAAATCTGAATCCTCACACACCTAAAATGTCTGACAGCTACGACAAAGGAACCTTTTTTTAAATAAAAACATACTCATCCAGTTTCTGACGTTAAGGAAACTCTGCTGGCTGGTGAGATCGAACATCAGCAGGAAGCCCATGGCGTCTCTGAAGAACGCCGTCGTCAGGCTGCGGAACCTGGAACATTCAACAAACAGGGTTAAAAACAAATAGAGATAAAAACAGCACATCGGGCTGCTCCATATTATGTGGGAGGTGTAGTTCCTCTAAGGACCACTGGGCACCACTGTGGAGGTTTAGATTTACATGTCAGAGGAAGAGGTTGCTCTTAACGACCCACAAATAATAATCAAATACAATATGTAGCACAAGTATCTCAACATCTTAAGATCTTTACTCCCTAAACTTTCCTGTTTCCTCTGAATCTCATCTGCTTCGTTTTCCAGCAGCGAGATTAAAACACAGCTAGAAGATTATTGGATTCATCAGGAGCTGAATGAATGGAATTAGAATTATACAAATAATGCCACATCATCCTGCAGTGAGTCATCAGGCCTTTAGAAACTGTTAAAAGTTTCACGCCCACCTCTCCTGTCCGGCCGTGTCCCAGATCTGAAGGTGAACCTTGAAGGTTTTCCCTGTGGTCGTCCCATTGGGGTTGGACGCTGTGTACACCTGAAGAGACAGAAACATGACGGGAGCAGTTTTTATTCCACAGACACAACAACATTAGTATCTGCATATAAAGCTCTTCAGAGTTCTATTACGGAGGCAAGAGCATCGAAAGTATCTCACAGCAAGATGCAATTCAATCAAACAGACTCACAAGGAGCTGCGGGGGAAACAAGGGACGACTTGTCTTTGAGGGGATTTTATTCTCAGCGTGGATTCTGTCACTGAGACCTGGAGAAAATGTTTAAGTTTGTCTCTGGAATCTTATCATGAAAAATATATTCAGATCGTCGCCGTGTGATACGTGGAAAATCTGAGCCGGGGAGTGAGCCGGGCCTGGTGCTGCACATCCCTCACACCTCTGAGAAAACACAGCTTCAACAGCTCTGGATGACTCATAGGATCGATCATCATACCTCACATCCTCTTTGTGTGTGTGTGTGTGCGCTAAGGTCACAGCTTGTTTTCAAGGTATTTCATCCAGAACCAGGCAGCGGGTGAATATGTGAAGCTGCCGTCTGTCGCTGTCTCAGGGTTTTAATCCTTTATTGGGCAGTTGTGGTGAACAAGGAGGAAAATGAGCTGAATATAAAGAACATGTTGAACTTGTCCCTCGTTCCTGTTCAAGTATTGTTTTGTTGATGGACAGTGACACGAGTAGAGTCCCAGTGAGTCCATGTGAGGAGACACCGGGAGAAGAAGCGAGCGATGGAGGTGCGATGACGTTTCTTTTTCATCTTTTTAACGCAACTGAAACGAACACGTTAACCTGAACCATCTTTTCATTCCATCTCCTCGACTGTGACTCAACATCTACTGTTTTTAAAACTGTTTTTCATTCACAAGTGTCTTTAAACAAATTATTTTACAAGGTCGTACTACGTTTTCTATTATTTTACACAGTTCTATCTCTTTCAACTTGTATTTTTTTTCCTTTTTTAAACTCTTAATCAGTGAATCTACATCTGTGTATGAAATGTGCTTTATAAATAAAACTGTAATCTAACCTGACTCACTGCTTGTTTAAAACTAAAAACCTCAGTAGCTGTGGTAACCAGACCTGATCCTCTGAAGCTTATATTTTTACACCGGTGAGAACTCACCACTCTCTTTTCCCTGAAGTCGATACCGACTGTGGTGATGAACTTGGGGTTGAACTTGTTGTCTGTGTATCGGTACAAGAAGGTGGTCTTCCCCACGCCGGAGTCCCCCAGGGCAAGGAGTTTTATAAGGTAGTCATAATCCCCATCAGTCATAGTGATGACCACGATATCAACCTGCGGGAAAACACACAGAGATGTGGGTTAACACACAGATACACTGAGAAACTCACAGTGTCAGCCTCCAACAGCAACGTGTGTGTGTGTGACAGAGGGGGGGTCAGTGCAGAAATACAGAAAAAGAGCAGCATATAAATGATTCCATTATTCACAACAGAAACTTAAAATGTCTTTGTTGTAAAAGTAAAATCACACGATAAAAATCCAGTGTTGGAAAAATACTAGAACAAATTCTTCTTCTTATCCAAGTTACGTCCTTCGGTACAATTTCCATTTTATGTAACTTTACCTGAAGACATTTTCTACTTTTTTACTCCAGAACGTTTATTGTAAAGTTAGAAATGTTGTAATTTATCAACAATTATTGCAAAAGAAAGAAACGAGTATTAAAATGTGAAATTCTAATTCAGAGTTGGAGTCTTCGTCCCCACACGAGCCCCGAGGTGATGATAACAGATTAGCGACAGCTGCAGCGGTTGATTGTTTGTGTGAACTTTCTGTGAACTCAGTTAAAACTGAAACTGAAAACTTTAGGGACACGGAAATAAAGTAGTTAAAGCAACACTGATTCACTCATCCAGAGGAACAGCGCCCTCTGCAGCCACACGCGAACAAGAAGAGCTGCCGCTGTAACAAATCCACAGAACTGTTGAGAATTCTTGTCCCCAAATTTTTTTTTTTTTCAAACTAAATCGATCTCCACACTGTGAATCAGTTTGAATCCTTAAAAACACATCACATGACCGCTCACTCATAAACAGACTCCTTATGTAACAGCAGCTCTCCTCCACATTCAACAGTTGTATAAACAGTAGAGACAACAGGGTCAGTGACACTTCTAATTGATTCTCCATGTCGTGTTCTCCACTGGCAGCTGAGGCCGATTGTTTTCTTCATGAAGGGGGATCATGTGACAGCGGCCCGATGAATCAGCGAAGGCTACGTCGTGACCGAAAAGACCCATAACCAAGTGGTTGTGTCATATTTTCCCCCCCAAAAAAAATCTGAATTTCAGCTCCTCCAGACTGAAACGCAGCCGCAGTTTTCAAACTAAAACGGGACCTGCAGCGTTTTGCAAACTTGTTGATGCGTCTTCGTGTGGATGTCACGTTAGAAAAACACGCAGGAGGAACATGGGAGGGACCGATTCCCTCGTATCGAGCTCACAAGGTCAAACTGTATTTGTTCGCAGGCGATTGACAACAATTTATGATCCGCGGCTGATCCACAGCTGCCGGCGGCGGTAACGCACCACAGGACGTTGACAATTAAAACGCGGATGTAGATGATGTGGTTTCAACTGTTGAGGTGAAGACCACCAGTCCACGACCACAGCAGCAGCAGCTCCGTGAGGCCAACGGCCTCGAGCCAAACGGTGTTGATGGCATCTATAAATAAGAGGAATGTTGTTTTCATGTAAAATTCTCAAATTATCCAGTGAGCTGCCGTCGTCTGTTTGCCTCATGGCTGAATGTGGTATATTTAGAGCAGGGATCACAAGACTCTAATTCACTCAGCTGAGAGGAAGCACATAGAACACTGGGCTTTCTTGCAACGTGGACAGTGATGAAGCAGCCGCTCTGATCGCCTCACAATAACCTCACTGTATCTGAGGCGGTACAGTGAGAACCAGAGGTACACCGACGTCTGATCTACAGTTTATATATATATATATATTCAATCATCAATTCTTATTACAACTCAGGTTTGTATAAATAGCGGCTGTTTGCAGTAATCGAGACTTGAAGGAGCAGCTGTAGACGCTCCAGCACATTAGAGCTAAATCACATTAAAGTTAATTATTGCTGCGGTTCATACCTTTGACATGACTCCATCGACAGTAAAACCATTCACTAGAATCACAGCCAGGGAATTATACTGCGTCTTCACTCAAAGGTGTCACATGGACAATAAAAGACCTCATTATTTGTATAAAACTACTGGTTTTATCTCCGTGCCTCATGCCTCTCTCAGCATTACATCAGCAGCTTGACAGAATGAGACCATTTGTGAGTTAAGTGGCCGAAGATCTTTGATTTTAGATTTTGTACATTATCATTTGCTGTATTTGATTTGAAATGAAATTGTGTTATTTTGCTTGTTTAGTGTTTTTACTCGTCCTCTTGGTAAAGCGCTTTGCAGCGGCTGTTATAATTATTATTATTATTATTCAATCAAAGCAGGACACGGCCACAGATTACAGTGAGAATGTTGGAAAGACCACACAGGACGACCAAACTGGATCTAATGAGCCCAAGTTACAATGACTTCACCACACACTGCTGCTCCACTGGTACATTTTCATGGGAGCTGTAATTTTTGCGCGTGCGGACAAATAAATCATTGTTTAATTTTGTTAAAGTCACCGAGGCTTCAGCCTCTCACGGCGAGCGCCGGCACAGATACTCATTTATCTTGGAACATGGATTGTTGTAAAACCCCTGGAGCACAATGAACCAATGGAAGGAATGTTTAGTGAGAGATTACATCGACTTTCTGAAGACTTTGGATTAAAGACGAACCCTGAGGAGATGTCAGGGCTTCACGTTAGCTTATTCATTAGCGGTTTACAATAACACCATCTCTATGCTAATTGAAATTTAAATTCCATGTTTCCATTAACATTAGCGTGTTAGCATTCTAAAGCACACCCTGACCACAATTTGTCCAGCGTCATCTTGGTTTTTTTTAAGACCATAATTAACCATATTTGGAGAAAGAAGGGGGTGGAGCCTGACTGACACTGCACGCCCACCTACACCCATTGGACGGTACTAGCCGTCAATCACACTGTATCCACGCCCCAATACGTCCGGTGCTTCATGGTTTATTTGACTCTTAATGATCATAATTTACAAAACGAACATCAGCGGTGTTGAAGAAGTCTTGAAACTAGAGACTGAGACATAAACTCCTGAGAATAAATGTTTACTGACGTTATAAATCAGGTGAGAAGTAAAGTCCTTTTGTTACAGACTCCTACAGAAACTGACTTCAACAAACAGACAGAATTTAAGACGTCCTAAAAGTGTCCACCATAGCGAAGATAAACACTTGGATTAAGGTGAAATCTCGTCATTTCCTCTGATGCTGCCGAGAGATAAACCGTTCTGTGGCGTAAAAAGTGCAATAAAGCAGCGGCTGTTAAAACTTTTACTTCCCATCACAGTTTGCAAATGACTGCTAATGCTGCTCCATGCTGGTGTGTGGGAAAACACCACAACACATTATGGTAAACAACACGTCACAGTGGATTTACTGTTATATTCTAACTGTGGGTTCGAACAAACCAGACCTTTCCAATGTAATTCATTAAATAAATACAGTCTCACTGGGCGGGATTAATAATTTAAAACCAATGTTTTCAGAGTAAAGGAAAATAGCTAATAAGCTCATTTAAAATAATTTAGAAATGTTCCTTCTGTCGAGGAAACTGCTCACAGAAGGTTTCATGTATTTGTCACTTTAGCATCGAACTGTCGTGGTATTAATGAAGCCCTCCAGGGGGTGTGAGGGTCGGGGGTGAGACAAGGGGGAGGATTTGAGCTTATTGATCTGTCGTCACTGGTGGAAAAGCAGCAGTGACTGTAGCGTGATCAGTGTCAGTCATGATTCCCTGAGGGTGAACCAGCAGCTCGGTCTGCTGACACTCATCCTTACAATGAACGAAAGCACGGGACCAAACTGTAGAGAATATTATTATTTCTAAATGTTTAGTTAGAGGTGGTG